ATATATAAATTATTTTTTATAATAATATGAAAATAATATATACAAAAAGATAAAAATAAATATAAAATAAATTTGTTAAGGAAAAATTTTGAAATTATTTTTTATAATAATATAAAAATAATATATATAAAAAAATAAAAATAAATATAAAATAAATTTGTTAAGAAAAAATTTTTAAGATCTTATATTGAGTTTTAGAAAATTATTAAATTTTTTTAAAATTTTAGTTCTTTATAAGTAATAAAAAAGAAGTCAAATAATATTATTATTGCTTTAATTATAAATAGTATAAAAATATAATAAGATTTGTTTAAAGAAGCTAATATATATATAGATATCTTCAAAATTTTTTTAGTATCTGAATAAATAAAAATTATTTGAAGTAATTAAAATATTTATATTTAAAAGAAATATTGTTGCTAAAATACAAATAATATAAGATATACTTAAGAGCTATTAGATTAATTACTATTATAGTAGCTTTATATTATTATATTATTATTAAATAAACTAGTTTGTTATTATAATAAGATAAGTAAAAAGATAAAAAAATAAAGATAAAAGAGGTATAAAATAAGAAATTATTTATTATTAAAGAGTTTTATAAATTAATATTGAATAAAGAAAAAATATTTAATAGATAACTAAGTTTAGTATTATATAAAGTTATTTTTTTTAGATTTGTTTAGGAATAATTTGATTAGAAATAAGTTATCAAAATTAGTATATAATCTTTTTTGTAAGTTTACTTGTATTACAAATAATATTTTAATTTTGTATTTGAAGTAGTATTTTTTTGTTTTTAATATTGAATATTTTTTTTGTATCTTAAGTATAAATAAAATTAGAGTGCAAAACAGGCAGAGTTGGATCAAGATTGCTTCAACTCAACTTAAGCCTACTCAAATCTAACATAAGCCTAATAAAAAATTTTATAACTAGTTAAGTTAGGTTGAATCTAAAACCTGATCTGACCTAGCTCAATCTGATCATTTTATATATATACAATTAACTAATAGTAATTTGTTATTTTAGAAAATAATTACTTTAGGCATATACTTAATTTTATATCTATATTCAATAGACCCTCATATACTTTAAAAAAAACTGAACTACCTCAATACTTTGAATATTAAACAAGACACTTGAGTTGCTTAAAAGAAGTTAGAATTAAGTATAATATATTGTATTATACTAGTATAATATATATATACAAAAGCATATAACAAAAATATATAGCTTCAGATAAATATTTATGAAATTATATTTAAAATTAACTGATCTTTTGAATAAAATATATTTTTTTTTTACTTTTAGCAGTCATGCTAATACTTTATTAGATCTTTTAAAACTATACAGATTTCAAAGAATTTAACTAATTTCTTAAGTTTAGCATTATTCAGTTATTATATAGGGCCTAAGTATAGTAGTTGAAATATAGAATAAAGGGTACTATTATACTCAATAATCATATCGTGATAAAAAAAATAAAAATGATACACAAACTATTTATTATCATAATAAGCAGTGAAATATAATGCATAAATAAATACATCCCAAAGATTAACTTTGTTTACTCTGCACCAAATAAATTCTAACAAATAATTATTCATTAATTTTTTGTTTCTATTATGTGGTGCAATCTGTAATTTATTACTATTCGACAAACCTTCTATACTATTAGTGTGTGCATCAGTCATTGAGTCAGTAAAATTTTTTGAATAATTCACAGTTTCATGTGTTACTCCTAATTTATCAATATCCAAATAACCTTCCCAACTATCAGTATATATAATCAAACCTCTTTCAACATATTTCTCTATAACTTCTTTAATAGTTTCTTTATCTTGTTTTTCCACAATCTTTAAAAATATTTTCCTTTCTTTTGTTTTCTCAATCCCACTAATGAACTATATATCTTCCATCTTTCTACCTCTATGATATTTTTTCGTATTAAATTTTGATTCATCTATCTCCACAATAATTCTTTAACTACTTATTTTTACAGATACATCCTTTAACGTATCAATAACTAATTCCCTTAAAAATTTATGATAATCTGTTATAGTATTTTGTGATGATCCCATTACTGTTTTTATCAAACAATTTGAACATTTAGATAACCAAAAATATGCAATTATCATAATTTCATTACATTTAAGATGACAATTTGCAAAAATTAATCTTTGAATATAGATACAGTTGTTTTATTTTTATATTTTTTATTTGAATATCTAAAACATTTATTATTTCTATATAATTTAGAATTACATAATAAACAATTCTCTTGTTTATATAAAATATCTTTATCGAATAAAAATTTTATACATTCTTTCTTATCAAATAAAATGTTTTTAATCAAATAAATATCAGGAATAGATATTTTATTGTAAATATAAATATCTATTTAAGAATTTATATCTATTGATATTATTAATTAAAAAATATTTTCTTCTAAATGAATACAATCAATATTTATAACAAAACAACTCTTTCTGATGATCATCAAAACCAAAATAACAGAACAACAAAAAAGTTATTTTTCTTATGCTACTACCTA